GGCCTCGGGGGGTCGTCGGGCCGCGGCCTCTGTGCCGCCGCGAAGCTCTCGGCCCGGCCTCCCGTGCCCCGTCGCGGCCGCGGGCCGGTCTCTGGCTCTGACCTTGGAGCGCCCGCTGGCCGAGGGCGCCGCTGCCGGGACGCGAGCTCGGGCTCTGCGTCTGCAGCCTCGGCCCTGACCCCTCCAGACGGCCTTTGAGCGGCCTTCCCCGGTTTAACGGGGCCGCGGAGAGGCGCTCGGCTTTCCTGCTTGGACGGCGTCCGCGCGTGCACGGGCCGGGCCCGAGGAAAGCAGTCCTGACGTCGTGCTTGTTTTTTCTGCCCTGAGTGGGTATTCTCCCGGGGGTTCGGAGTCCTTTTCTTCGTCAGCAGGGTTCCGAAGGGTTGCTTTAAAGGGGGGCTTGTATGGTGGACGGCCGTTGAGTCAGAGAGGGCCAAGGTGAGACTTGGGTCATCCGGGTCGTCCGTAGGATTGGAAGTGCACCGGGGCCATATTTGCAGCTTTCTCCGGTTGCCTTTTCCAATTCGTGCACATACTAGATTTTTAGACAGATGCTTAGTTGAATGCAATGCATGCCACCATCCCTGTGATCTGTTACCCCTCCAGCCCCCGCCCCCCCCAAAGTGGAGCCTGTCATGGCAGCACAGTGCTTGAATGATTTGTTTTCTTCAGAGTCATTTTATTACATTATTTTTCTCCTTGTTTTTTTAAGAATTCAAATTTGCTGTTAATTGCCGGAAACGTGCATATATTATGGTACTTGGCTTATAATGGAGTCCCATAAAAACATGCTGACTACTAAGAAAAGCATCCTAGGTTGTTTTGTGAATTCAGAGTCAGTAATAAAGAATGGATCATTTTTGTTGTGGAGAAGCAAATAAAAGAATGTATTCATTTCCAAAATGCTTTGGGGCGAAAACAAGACTCATTTCTAATGGGTGTTACTCCTCATTCATAGAGAAGGTACACATTTTTATCTTTCAGAATGTTGGCTACCAGGGTATTTAGCCTAATTGGCAAGCGAGCAATTTCCACCTCGGTGTGTGTACGAGCACACGGTAAGTGTGACTTTTCTTACTTTTAAATAGGCTGAGCTAATTTCATTTTGCTCCTATTGTGTATAAGGCCCAGTGCTGGAGTTTCATGCAAAGGTGACTTAAGATCTTGATTCTGCTGGTGAGGGAATTTAGGGGAGATATAAATATTTCAACAGGGCATAGTTATAGATTAAGGAGTGTTTATGAATCATATTGAATACTAGTCTCGGTCTTTGCTTATACTGATATCCCCACCCTCAACCCCTTTTCTCTCCCTTCCTTCCTATTTTATTCAGATTCAGGTTCTACTCCTTTGAAGAGATCTTCTCTACCATACCGACCTTGATTTCTGACCCCCCCACCCCAAACTCCCAGCCACTTCACTTCCTTCTACATATAACACAGAGGCAATAGAAGCAAAAGAGAATGGACTTCTTAGCCTCAGCTGGTTTTAAGTCTCATTTCTATTATGTTGTGGCTACTTAAGTTTAGGAATCAGTTTTCTCACCTCAAATACTGCAAATGTGAAGAGCTTAGTTCCATGCCTGGCACGTAGCAAGTTGAGTTTTGCATTTATTGAGCATCTTTATACCAGACACTGTTAGACACTGAGAACAGAAATATGAGACATGAACCATTTTCATGAGAATGTTTGTGATCTGGAGAGGAACAAATGGATGAAGACAGCATTTTAGTAAGAGATGGCCCCATAGTGGAAGCATTTAGCCTGACCTGGGGTTCAGGGAAGGCTTCTGGAGGAGAGGCTTTGCTACTGAAGGATGAGTAGGGTCAGGTGCAAGGCTTGGGTGGTGGGTGAGGTTGGAGAGCAAGGTTTGTGTATCAGGAGGCTCCATAACTAGTAACTGCTATTCCCTGAACCTACCTTATGTGGGGATTTTTTAGTGAAACTGTTCTTCAGTTGATGATATTGTCATCTTGTATTTATCTATACTCCTTATACTGCCCAGGGTAATGCTATGGACATAGACTCTAAAACAGATAATTTTAGTAACAGTATTATTGAAATATCCGTTATTTGAATAAGTGAGTATAAACATTCCTTCTTTGTTAATACATATGGAAAGAAACACTCCATTACAACCCTGGAAAGTTAGTTATGACACCAATTTGGCTTTGCTGATATGAGGATAGTTCAAAAAGTTTGTGGAAAAATAGAATTAAAAGATAATACAAATCCTTCCATGAACTTTTTGAAAACCCCCTCCTATATTTCCTTAGCTTTTTGTTTAGTTTTGTTTGAATTGTAATTTACAGAAAGTGAGATTCACCCTTTCTAAGGTGTAATGGTGATCTCTGGATTTGACAAGCTCACGCAGTTGTGTAACCCCTACCACAGGACATACAACAAATATCTCCATCACCCCAGAAAGTTCCTTCATGTTCCTTTGGTCATTCTAATTTTACCAGAAGCCAGCTGCTGTCTCCTTATGGTGGCATAATGGCCATGGCTTATGTTTCTGGTATTGTGTTTCTGGCAGAGGACATAAGATCAAGTCACGTTCCCGAAACACTCTATGGTCTTTTCGTTTTCCTAGTAAATCTACAAACAGCCTTGTTAGAACTAATTTTACCTGACTTTCTGATCTCATTACTTAATTCTTAAAAAACACCACCAGCCTCCCCCCACCCCGCTCACTGTCCCAGCCACCCGGCCTGCGTTCATTCTGCACTCAGAGCCCGAGTTGTGGGTGGTGGCTCCCCTATAACCATTCTCCTGACCCCCTTCTAAAGATGCTCCTTGTCACATCACCTTGCTTTGTTTCTCCCTGCAGCACTGATAAGCATGTGCCTGGGTGTCTGAGTGTTGTCTGCTTGTGCCTTTTAGAGGGTAAGCCTGCTGAGGCTAGGGACCTTGCCTGTCTCATTCAGTGCTGCATGTGGTGGGCAAATGAAGAACAGCTGTAGTGCCTTAGACAAGTCTTGGACTTTAGTCTTAAACTTTGAATTGTACAAGCCATGCAAGAACAATAAGTGAACCTATTCTCAACATACTGTATGAAGGCAGTACGGAATGCCACTGGTAGCCACTGTTGTCGGTGGCATATTTGTGTGGTGTCACAGCTGAGTGAGGGGAGTAGTGCAGATTCACCTCCCCAGCAGAGGCCCAGCACAAATCTGTCCTTGTTGAAGACAGAGATGACAGATGTTCATTAGAATGCGAAACCTTTGCTTCTCTCTCTATTTAAGAGGAATATTTTTGGTACTTTACCTTTGCATTCCCGTCATTTGCTGGAGGACCAGGCCCAAAGTTCTGAAGAGTCCCTGAGACCATGAATTGGCCATTTTTATTCCAGAAAGTACAATTTTATGGTTAGCATGTTTCAAGGTTATGAGGGTTTACATCTTTGTAACAGTTTAATGAGATGTAATTCATGTACATTCACCCGCATAAGTGTACATGTCAGTGGTTTTTAGCACCATGCATTCTCTGAGTTATGTCATAACCACCTCAATCATTTCTAGAACATTCTCATCACCCCAGTTTACATCTGTTTTTAACAATTCATATGTAAGCTGAGTGCGTTAAACATTTGAGAGACTTTTTTGGGGGCTGAACGTGGTGAGAATTTTCAGTATACAACTGTTCTTTTTAGTTTACTCATCATTTCAATAGAATCTTAGAGTTAATTAGAAATTCTGGCCATTTCACCTCATGTCCTTTTGGGATGAGGTCTGGTACAAGTATGTAAGTACACTTGTTATTTGTATGGCTAACGTAAACATCTAGAGAAATTGCACTGCTTTGCCTAAGACTTAATGTTTTATTTCACTGTTAACAAGATTTGGGAAATTTTAGTCATGGGGTCTAAGCCAGCGGAGGTGAAGCATTTTTGCAGGGACTCTTACCTCTGGACCAGTTAGGAACACAAAGTGCAGATGTAGCATAGAATAGGAGAAACAGCTTTTGGCAGTGAGAAAACCCTAAATAAAGACTAAGATACTCCTTTCTTTTCTGCTGTTTGAACTTTTTCCCTCGTTACTTGCATAGCACACAAGTAACATGCTTATTTTAGGCACAAAAAGAACAGGAGCAGATAGAGCAGAAATCCCCACTCAGTGTTGTCTCCTCTTCCCACTTGTAACAATTTAGAGTTTACTTTGCCAGGAGTTTTTGTATGTTCAGTTACATATATATGTGGTATATGCACATGATTTACATTTTTTAAATGTAAAACAAAAATACTTCTATTGTTCTGTGACTTACTGGTAAATGATTGTTTTTCTGCCTGGGTTCCCAGCTCTGCCTGGTTCACTGGACTGTTGTCTGGTGCTGTACGTGTTTCCTGCCATCGATACATTACGGATTCCCCTTC